GTTCGTGTTGCTTGATATTTGATCAATAGGTCGCCATCAGTTCCATTAAATTTTGAGATTCCAGAAAATGTGTGGTCTAGAAGGGAGGTTTCTTACTCTCACTTGAGAGTGTTCAGGTGCAAAGCATTTGCACATGTAGCCAAGGAGCACAGGCAGAAGCTGGATGATAAAACCACTCCATGCATCTTTATTGGCTATGGAGATGAAGAATTTGGATACAGATTGTGGGATCCGAAAAACAAAAAGGTCATTTGAAGCTAAGATGTGGTATTTCAAGAAGGCTAGACCTTAGAAGACTTTGGGCAACCAGCCAAACCCAAAGTTGATGATGTTTTAGAAATTGTTCCGAATCCTACACCATCACAACATGCCATTGATGAAGAAGAGCTACCACAGCATGCAGCTAATGATATAGAGTTACAGGACGGTTTTCTAGAAAAAGAAGTTCTAGAAGAAGAGGGTGTTGAACAGAAAGAGGCACAACCCCCTCTGCCAGAGACTGTTGGTCTACAATTACAAAGATCAACAAGATAGTCTAAGTCATCGACAAAATACCCTACTTCTGAGTATATTTTGCTTACTGACGAGGGGAAGCCAAAAAGTTTTCAAGAAGCTCAAAATCATAAGGAGAAGAGTACCTGGTAGCAAGCTATGCAAGAAGAGATGCAGTCCTTGCAGAAAAATCAGACTTATGATTTGGTAAAACTTCCCCAAGGTCGAAAAGCATTGAAGAACAAATAGGTGTTCAAGTTGAAGAAAGATGGCAGCGGAAAGCTAGTCAAGTATAAGGCTCAATTGGTTGTCAAAGGTTTTGGCCAGAAAAAAGGAATTGATTTTGATGAAATCTTCTCGCCAGTTATGAAAAGGACATCCATTCGAGTAGTTTTGGAACTAGTGCCCAGTTTGAATTTGGAACTTGAACAAATGGATGTGAAGACGGCATTTCTCCATGATGCTCTGATGGAAGAAATTTACATGGAGCGGCTAGAAGGTTTTGAAATAAAAGGGAAAGAAAACTTAGTCTGCAGATTGAAGAAAAGTCTCTACGACTTCAAACATGCATCGAGACAGTGGTATAAGAAGTTTGACTCATTCATGGTGGGTCATAAGTATAAGAGAACTGCTGCAGACCAGTGTGTATATGTCAAGAAATTTCCTAGTGGAAACTTTATCATACTCTTGCTCTATGTTGACGACATGCTGATTGTTAGACAAGATGCCACTGTAATCAAATCACTAAGGAAGGAGTTATCATAGTCCTTTGACATGAAGGACGTAGGCCCTACACAACAAATTTTGGGCATGAAAATTATGCGTGACAGGGAAGCCAAGAAGTTGTGGTTGTCATAGGAGAAGTACATTGAACGGGAATTGAAAAGTTCAACATGAAATATGCCAAGCCAGCCAGTACTCCACTGGCTATTCATTTCAAGCTGAGCAAGACGTCTTGTCCCTCCTCTACCAAAGAAAGAGAAGAGATGGAGGTTATTCCTTACTCATCCACCATAGGGAGTTTAACGTATGCAATGGTGTCCACCCGACTAGATATTGCTCATGCTGTTGGTGTAGTAAGCAGATTCCTTTCCAATCCGGAGAAAGAGCAATGGGAAACAGTCAAGTGGATTATGAGGTACCTCAAGGGTACAAATGTGTTTGTGCTTTAGAGATGCTAAACCAATATTGGAAGGCTATACTGATTCAGATATGGTAGGTGATCTTGATAGTAGAAAATCTACATCAGGATTTCTGTTCACTTTCGCAGGGGGAGCTATGTCATGGCAGTCCAAGCTATAGAAATGTGTTGCTTTATCCACAATTGAGGCAAAGTATATTGCTGTAGCAGAAGCTGGGAAAGAAATATTGTGGTCAAAGCAGTTTCTCCAAGAGTTAGGATTAAAGCAAGAAAAGTTCACGGTACATTGTATAGCGACCTCGGTCTTTTCTCTTTAAATTATTGTATCCGGACTTAGGTTCCGTGGATCCTGTCATTACTTATTGGTTGTTGTTGTCTGATAGTAGAAAATCTACATCAGGATTTCTGTTCACTTTCGCAGGGGGAGCTATGTCATGGCAGTCCAAGCTATAGAAATGTGTTGCTTTATCCACAATTGAGGCAAAGTATATTGCTGTAGCAGAAGCTGGGAAAGAAATATTGTGGTCAAAGCAGTTTCTCCAAGAGTTAGGATTAAAGCAAGAAAAGTTCACGGTACATTGTGATAGCCGAAGTGCTATAGACCTGAGCAAAAATTCTATGTACCATTCTCGCATGAAGCACATTGATGTTCGGTATCATTGGATACACGAAGTGATAAAGAAACAATTATTGGAACTAATCAAAATCCACACAGATAAGAATCCAGCTGACATGCTTACAAAGGTGATCTCGAGAAACAAACTCGAAATTTGCAGAGACGTTGTCGGGATGGACTTCAAGTGAGAAGTTAGTCACGCGTGTGGGTATGGAGGGGGAGAATTGTTAGATCCAACCCACATGCATGTAGAGTAAAGAGTCAAGAAAGGATGGCGTACAAGGACTTCCATTGCAAGTGAAAGAAGTCTGAACTGGGCATCTGCAAGACCAGCTCTCCCTTCTCTTCACGTTCTTGCCATTGTTGACTCTCACCAACAGAAGGTAGAAATTTTGGTGGGTTTGTCTCCCTCCCTCTCTCTCTCTCTCTCTCTCTCTCTCATCTTTATGTATAAATAGAGACGAGAGGTAGAGGGTGAATTGCATCAGAAATTTGAGAGAGAGAGTTATGAGTTGAGTGAGAGCATTTTTCCTCCTCTGTTTTTGTATTTGCTTTGTATTAGTAAAATTCTTGTTTTTGTTCCGTGGACGTAGGCATTGGGCCGAACCCCATAAATATTTGTGTTTCATTTGTGTGTGTGATTGTTTGTTGATTATTTTCTAGGTGTTCATAATCCTAACATCAACTCCTCCCTAGTGATGGAAATGAACTTTATGAGAAAGATGGCACTGATGTTAAGTTGATGCCTCACACTGGTAGCCTCAGGTTTTGAGCAAACCACATGAACCGCAAGATCAGGCGTTTAAACCTCCCTCTCCCAAGACATCTCAAAATCCCAATTTGCCAAATTATACTTCGCTTTAACAAGACTCACACACTACGCTCCCCCAGTTGGCATTGCAGCATCAATGACATTCGCCATCCTAACTTGCATTACTGCTACAAGCATGGAAACGCGAAGGCTAAACGTGATTAGAAAACACGTTTTACTAGATAAAATCATAAATTTAGGATCAAAATCGAGTCAATTAAAATTATAAAGACTAAAATGACACAATAATCAAAATATAGGGACTCCTATCGTAATTTGTCCATTACTAATTAATGAAAAAATTTATCATTTTATATTTTATGTTTGTAAAGTTTATGAGTAATTTGTAAATATTTTGTTAGACTTCCACTGACAGGTAATACCCCCATTGTGAAATTATGTTTGAATGGTTGAAATTGGAATTATATTTCATAATTGAGTATGAAAAATTATATTCATATATAATTTTTATATAGATTTTGTTTAGATGGAAAATTTTTATATAGAACTTGTCATCAAGAATAACATGATAGCAAATTTCTATAATAGAATGCTATTTAAATGGACATTTTATTTTAAAATAACGAGTATGGTTAATTGAACTAACATTCATTCAACTATTAGTAAATATTATTTTGGCCAGATTAGGTTAAAAGTCTTTTTTTTTTTAATTTTTTTAAATCATATCACTTATCTACTTTTTTCAAAATAGACATTTAATCTACTTCCCAAAATAGGCATTTATCTCTAATATTTATGAATTCTTACATATTAATTATTTCAACTATAAAAATCGTACAAATAGATCTCATTCAAAGGTGATCTACAAGGGTAAAATGATACTTTTTATAGGTGATGGGGTTAAAATGTACGTATTCATACACTACAAAAATTAAGATTTTAGAAATCAAAATTTAATAACAAAATTATTTTTTAGGGACTAAATACTTTTGTTGTGAAAAGTGTCGTTAATATATTTTTAGCAACGAAAATTAAAAATTAGTGATGGATTATTATTTTTTTGGGACCAAATTTTTTGTCTACAAAAATAAACTTTTTGAGACTAAATTATTTTGTTCCTAAAAGTGTATTTATTAGTGACATTTTTAAAATTTTGCCGTTAAAAGTCATGTTTTTGACTTTTTGGGATGATCTTTTATCAACTATTTTTACGACGATAGAAATTGATTCCTAAATATTTTTTGCAACAAAATTTTCATTTTTTGGGACCAAAAAATTTAATCTTTAAAACTCTTATATGTTATAATGATAAAGAAAAAACTCAAGTGATATTCACTAATAATTGAGAGGGTCTTGGTGTAACTAACCCCAATAAGTATCAACGCTACTACGTGATTCTGTATATAAGTTCTGATTAGTTTCATATTTATATACACTACAACAAAATACACATTTGGCGACCAAAATTAGTGACCAAAAAAAATTTCGTCGCCAAAAGTAAAATATTTAGCTACTAAATTTTTTTAGTCGGGGTATATTGGTTTTTGGCGACTAAAAAAAATTTCGTCGCTAAAAATGCTAGAATTGGCGACTAAAATATTTAGTCGCAGTACATTAAGTTTTGGCTACTAAAATCGTTTTATCGCCAAAAGAAAAATAAAAAATTAACTTTTTACTTTTTGGTCGCCAAACGTTTATTTTCAGCGACAAAAAAGAATCTTGGTCGCTATATGTTGACTTTTGGCTACTAAACCATTTAATCGCCGATTGAAAATTAAAAAATTATTGTTTTACCTTTGGCGACCAAAAATATATTTAGTCGCGAAAGGTTGAAATTTTGTTTGAGAGGGAAACAAATTATTTTTGGCGCCTGATCTATTTAGACTCTGTTCTGTCTCTCACACACACAGACACACGATATCATATACACTTCTGTGTCCAACACTAGCAAACCTCATCCTCACCATCCCTGCTAACAGTTACCATCGAACTTCCACCACTGACATCGAGGCTCTCGCTACCGCCGATCACCATCATGGCTCTCGCCACCGTCGCTCACCATCGCGGCCCCCCTCCCAGCCACATTCAGGTTTCTCTCTCTCTCTCTCTCTCTCTCTCTCTCTTCCTCTATTTCCCCATTTCACCATCTCGGATCTAGGGTTTTATTAGGTAGATAGCAATTGATTTAAGGTACTGAACAATTTAAGAATATTATTAGTAGGTAAGTTAATGGAAAATTTTAGGACTCAATTCGGTGATGTCCTCTTCGCTTAATAGGATTGAAATTTGCTCTGTATTCTACATATGGGTTTTAACTTTTTTATTATTTTTTGAGTTTTATATTTCAAATCCTACTCAATTTAAGCAAATGGGTTTCAATTTGATTTTTTTTTTATTATAAAAAAAATGGTCTTGCTTTGATTTGGTGGAGGTAGTGATTTTTGTGATCCTAATAGCTATTCGTGCTCGTGATTGAATGATTTTGAGTTTTTTATGCATAACAAAAGCTTGAGTCACTGTGAAATCTCATCCTCCTTTTTGTTTTCTGAATTTGAATTTGAGGGCTTAGCTGTGTGTAAGTATTTACCTTCACAGAGATGTATGAATTTGAATAATAAATGATGTTTCCTTAGCTGGGTAGAATCTGATAGGTGGTTTCATTTTCTTTGAGTTTTTATATCCATATTTTGTTTGTCTTTTTTTTCTTTTTCATATATGAAACCATACTCAATTCAAGCAACTGGGTCAGAATTGAATTAGATTTTGTTTTTCTCAATTAACTTGGTTTGAATTATTATTATTTTTTTTGGTGGTTGGTAATTTCTGATGCTCTCACTGATTCTGTATTCATGTGGCTTCCCTTCTTGTAAAATAAGAAAAGAGAAAGAAAGGGGAAAAAAAAGTATTACTTATTATGGACCTCCTAGTTACACTGCTCTGTTTGTTCTCCAAGACTGTGACAGTCATCAAAGTAAGGCTGATTTCTGCAATGATTTATATAGATGCAAGATACTTAAGTTTGATAAGGAATTTGTGAATTGTCTTCTTCATCATTGTCATTGATCTACAACTCAGGAGTTTTGGATCTTTCCTTTTTCTATGTTGAGAATCTCATCAGTCATGCTGATCAACATTGACTTGCTGTCAAAGTAATAGCTTAAGAATGGTAGAAGTAGTTCCAAAATTACATAAAAAGTAACTTGAATATACCTGCTTTAGAGTGTGAAAAGCATATTTTTTCGAAATGAATGGATATCCATTATTCATTTTAAAGCTCAAAGATGTTGTGCTGTATTTTTTCTTTGGGCCTCTTTATGTTCTGAACAGTCAGGCTTTCCCTTCTTAGACTTTTTGGTCAATTGTAGCTTCACTAGTGACTTCAACTGCCAATATAGCCTCCTTATTTACTGAGCTTTTTTACTTTGATAATCCTGGACAAAATTAATTTGGTGAGAAATAGACAGTTGATGGTTTGTGGCTGTTATGCTGGAAAATGGAAACCCGTTGAGCTTACATATTCCCATTATGGATCGAACACCATTTACAGGTTTCTGTCCCTCTTAATTTGATGGCATCAGTACTTTTGTTGGATTGCCCTTTTACAATGATGGTCTCTTATGCCGCTGCTAGGTTTATTTTGATCTTCAAAATGGCAAAATGGTGCCTTTAGTTATCTTAAGTTCTTAACTAAATTTCACTAAGAATGTAATAATGCAGTCATAAAAAAAAGTGCCCAAATTCAGGTGCATCTGGACATTCATTGGGAACTGGATATTTACATTTTTGTGCTCCCATAGTTTGGAGTGGATTTTACTTTGGTCCTTATAGTTTTAATTGTAATGTATTGAACTTCATATTTTTTAATTGGTTTCAATTAGGTCCAACTGTTAATTGTTGTTAGCGATTTGGATGCAAAAATACATGTCAATATCAAATAACTTTCTTTGATCATGTGAAGCTCTCATGAATCTCACGTGGATCACATGGAACTGACGTGGAACTCAAGTGTATTTAACTATTTTCCATTTCTTCTTTTGACTAGATATCCGGTTAGAACTTCCTATTGCTTACAGTTTATGTTGTCATCTGAAGATCTAGGGAGCTGGATTAAGTGGCTGGGCTGGGCCTGTTTCACCTCTTCAGGTTATTACCCAGTTTAAGTTACTATATAAGTCATTTGGCTAAAACTTCAATTGTAACTATAGGGTTTGATCAAGTTTTTGCTTTAGTGTCAGGCATCTAGCACAGTTGGTCTTCTAATGCACATGAATGGGACATATAGAGCTCATTGGGCTGATCGTTTGGGGTTATGTAAGTGTTTAAGTAGTTACATGCATTCTTGTCTACTTGCCCTTATTATCTTGCAGCAGCACATTTCAGTTTCATCTTGCTTGAACATGTTCTAATCTTTATCTCTAGGTAAGGGTGGTGGTGCCCCATTAGCACTTAGATGTATCAAGGGTATGGGAGGTCTAGTTCCTAGCACATTAATTGGAGTCACAAGGATATACCCTGTTCTCTACAGGGAAAGGTAATCTGAAGTTGATTTTGCTTTTACTTGAAGCTTGTTCAATGCTTTTAATGTGATAGAAACTGTGTTTGTTTCTCCCATCCAGGTTAAGTAATGGGGGATTTATTGTGAGATCAGAGAGAATGGAAGCTAAAATGATACAATTATACAAATAGAGGTGATTCTGTCTTACCTTAGGAAGCAAACTGCAAATGCTAAATTGTTTGCCTTCTGAATATTCATTTCTGGCCTTTACTATGTTCATCATTACCAGCTTGAATATAAATTTCAGTTTGTCTATAAATTTTAGACTAAAATGATTAGTTTATTGACAAACTAAATGATGATTTTTTTACTTCATTAGTTTGGAGAAACTGACACTACAATGTCAATAAAATGACTTACTTTATTAGTTTGGAAAATGACAATATAAATCTGAGTTTTGACTTATTGCAAAAAGGGTGTGGAGAAAATGCTAACCCTTTATTAGTTGTTATAGGTCTACCAAAATTCATTCTTTTAAAAATTAAAACTGAGATCCATTTTTTGACTGACTTTGTGATTAAGTACATTAAATATATGTTTCATTAACTTAAATGGAACATAATGATTGTGGATGCTTTTCATGCCCTAATTGTTTCTTCAGAAAATAAATAAATAGTCTGATTCCAATATTATCTCTGTGTCTTCAGGGATTGTTGATTTTTGGTAGCTTATGGATTGTTTTGGTGACTGCATTTTGCATTTCTGTTTCCAAAAACTCGATTAGAAAGGCCATGAACATATCTGCATAGATTATCAGATTTGGTGCTGTTCTATGTATACATTTTTCATTTTTGTTCAACAACTTTCAATTCCTTGAATTTTTTTTTTCCCCTTTTCCCTTTTTCCATTTCACACAGAGAATATCTGCAAAGGATGCCCTTGATGCTGAATATTTTTGGACTGACCCCTTACCTTGCGATCCTAGAAGGTATGTCTCACATCTTTCTTCTTAGCTATGTTGCATGAATTTTACTTACTGATTCATTGTATTGAGGAAAAGATTTGGTAATAATCATATACCTTCAACGAGACTTGGAAAATTCAGTCATAGTGTGCCAAACCTTCTGCATTTCATATGTTTACACCTCCAATTGAGGTTTCCTGAAGCCTCTCTATTAATATTTTGACTAATCTCCGCTTGTCAAATAAAGGTGTCTCAGTTTTGTTTATATTAAATTAATTTCCACCTGTTCTTTGATTGCATAGTTTGCCTGATGGTGTCTCAGTTTTGTTTATATTAAATTAATTTCCACCTGTTCTTTGATTGCATAGTTTGCCTAAACATGAATCATCACACAAGTTCCAGACAAAGAAAAAAAGGCAGCAGCAGCGACAAAACGAAGAGATGGCAAAGAGACAGAAATTGCAGCACCCGCAACAACATGCTCGTCTAATTGCTTACTTTTGCAGGCATGATAAAGAAGGGAATGCTGGATTTGTAGTTTTTGAGTTTGTGGATTATGCTTTGCATCCTTGTCCAGCTGTGTGGCTCAGGAACACAAGTTTTCTGATGAGAGCAACATCTTGAGAATGGAAGTGGTTCAGATTTGGACACTAAGGATGTTGCAACCATTGTTTTCTTAGGTAGCTATCATTTTAATCTTTTGACAAATGGCTTTACAGTGTAGGCCAATCTGCAGAAGTTCACCTGGATTTGGGATAAAGGTTAATTGAGATCTGGGATGGAATCTCACCCACAACTTGATTATAAATGTTCTAAGTTTGTCTCATTGTGTTGATTTATGGATTGACAGGAAAAAAAAAAATTGTGGATAATTTGTTCTGTATACAAATTATATTTATTTAGATATTGTTTGGAATAAATCCCACGCAAGGTATGGAACTGTCTTCCCACCCAAGCTTGTAATTTGCTAATTCTTTATTTAAATACAAATGTCATGTTAGTAGCTAAAAATTAAAAAAAAAATGGAAAAAAAACTTTTGGCTACTAAATATTTAGTAGCTAAAAATAAAAATAAAAATAAAATAGAGAAAAACTTTTGGCTACTAAATATTTAGTAGCTGAAATAAAAAAAGACTTTAGGCGACTAAGAATTTAGTAGCTAAAAAAATAATAATAATAAAATAAGATGGAAAAAATACCCTTTGGTGACTAAAACTTTGGTCGCTGCAGATACTGCAAGTTTTGGCGACCAAAGTCTTAGTAGCGGAAAATAAATTTTTGGCAACTAAAATATTATTTTTGATGACTAAAAATATTAGTTGCCATTTATAGGACTTTTGGCGACTAAAAAAAATTAGTCGCCAAAACCTTCCCCGACCGTTTTTCCGCAACAAATCTAGCGACCAAAATATTTATTCAGGAAAAGGCTTCGGCGACTAAAAACCTTATTTTTGGCGACTAAAATTTTAGTCGCCAAAAGTGTATTTTCTTGTAATGATATCAAATAATTATTGAATACTTCTAAAACATTAGTGTGACATTACCCACCTAGTAATCTAAACCAATAACATAGTAGGAATTCATACGGATAAAATACGATGATTCAATTTTGTTAAATAGTTGGAGAACACGAAATGACTTAGTATAAATTTAAAAAATTTATTGACCAAATTACCCTATTTACATTCCTATAATATTTTGAAAATATCTAATAATTTTGTATGATTCATAGCCTTTAACTTCATGCAAACTCAGCATTGTTTTTAGGGGATATCACAATTCGTGCAATCTTTTAAAAAAATTACAAATTAATGATAATTATTATAAATTTTAATAATTATAATTATAATTTTTTTATATATGTATAATTATTCTATAAATGTGTCACTAGATTGTAAATTCCCTCTTTTTTATGTGGTTAGATCCAATGTGAAAAATGCGAGCCACTATGAAATAGACACCAAGATTTTCTCGTCAGCTATATATAAAGTAATTAGGGTAAATTATTTTACATTTTATCTTTTGTATCATTTTAGTCCTTACATTTTTAATTGATTCAATTTTAACTCTAAATTTTAAATTTTGTATCAATTTACTCCAATTAATAATATTGTTAGTGTTTTTGATAAAAAAAATTATCACCAAATTGATTAATATTACTCACTAAGTTTAGCAAATTTATATTTCTCTTAAAATCATGACCCATGCTACTTGTGTATTTTTTTTTATTAAAAATGTTAGCAATTGTATTCAATTAGACTAGATTGAGACAAAGTCATAAATTTAGAATCAAAATCGAGTTATTTTAAATTATAGGGATGAAAATCAAAATATAGGGACTACCAATACAATTTGCCTAAAGAATTAAAAACAAAAAGAATGAATTACACTGATAGTTTCTATATTTTGCTCATTGTGTCGTTATGGTTTCTATATTTTCAATTAACTCAATTTTAATTATGAATTTATGATTTTGTGTCAATTTATTCTAATTGATAATGTCATTAATGTTTTTGACAAAAAATTATTACTGAATTGATTGAGATTAACTCAATTAGTTGAATAATAAATTTATAATTTTACCCTTAAAAATATGACATATCAATTATTTAAGTATTTTTTGTATATAAAAAAACTAAAAATTATAATTAATTTGATTATATGGAAATAAAATTATAAATTTATGATTAAAACTACAATAATCAAAATAACATGAGAATCAAAATACCGTGTTCATTTGTTCAAATAAAAACATCACAGTTTTTATATTATTTTATTATTGTCAAAATGATAAGATCAAAAACGCGGATAATGAAATATATGGAATGTGCCATAGCACATGCATGCACCTAGTTCATCACTCATTGTACTCTTGACCCTATGCCTAAGTCAAGTCTTTCTTTATTTGTTTTTAAATTACAAATTACAAATACAGTTTACTTAAATATAACGCGTGATTTGAAAAATTATATTATATCACTTTAAATTTGTAATCACATAAAAAATAATTTTTTTATTAATAATATTAGAAATATATCTCAAGTAACAATTCAAGTAATTTGATTGTTATATAGAAGAGTAACTAAAAAAAAATTTAATCAGGACATTTTGACTAAGGGTTGTGTCATAGGCTTTGTACGTAAGGTCTCAAATTCAACTCCTATGAAGAGAAATTTGATACATTTGTGGTATAGCTTAATAGTTGATGCGTTTGATATAATTGTTGTGTTATGTTTTATTAACTTTTTAACTATGTCTCAAGTTCAACTCCAATGAAAAGAAATTAGAGACTATTGTGGTGTAAATAATAGTTGCTGTTGGGCTTGGGCTTGATGCGTTTGATATATTTGTTGTGCTAGACTTTGTTAACTTTCTAGCTATTGTAGACTAGTAGTCTATTTCATGATATAAATAATTCTCATATTTGTAATTACTCTGTTATTGATTGATAAAAAAAATTTAGAAATTTTATTTTTTCTGTTAATTTTGTTAAATAAAAAATTAAGATAAAAGGATATTTGTAATTTTCATAATTATAAGGGACAATCCGTATTTTAAGTAAATATGAAGAAATGTATTTGTAATTTACCATTGTTTACTAAGAAATTTCACCTAAAAATAAAAATAATAAAAAATACAATAAATCACAAATGCATCCCCTAAGATTTTATTAAAATACCAATTGTCTCATGTTATTTTGAAAATTACATTTCATTTCTTGAATTTTCTAACTTTATAACACATAGTTTATTTTATTAATAAATAATCAAATCAATTAATAATTTTTTAATGATATCAGAAACTTATCTTAATCAATAATTTAAAAAAAATTATTATTATATAGAAGAGCAGTTTTAAATTTTATTTATTTAATTAATTATGTTAAGTAAAAAATTGTGATAATGAATATTTATAATTTTTTAAACATATTCATGAGAAAGAGAAAGTCGTCCACTTGTCTTTGGACTTCCAAGTAATTGTAACGTCAAAGAATGAATAGGTACAGACAAGGCAACTTGAACTCGTTCAAAAAAACATAAAGACAAGGCAACTTGAAGCCTAATACGATATAAATTTAACTTGGAGTACATTGGTGAGTTCACACTAAAATTAAAATATATTGATATATAGCATTGCTTACTAAAACAATTGTAATATTATCCATATTTTATCAAATATTTTACATGAATTTTTGTGATTAATTCTTATATCACTAAAAGGGTAACGAAAGTAAACAATATCTTATTATATGCACGAATAATATAAAACTAAAAAAGAAAAAGTGAAATATAACATTATTTAATTAAAAAATTGTACAAATTATGAGTGTTTTTATTTGTTTATTTTGTTAAAAATAATATTTTATAGGTAGCAACGCGGCTGGCAGGCTCTCTCTCTCCCTTTGAAATTCCGTGTCCATTTTTTCTTTTATATATGTTTGTGTGTATATATATATACATATACTCTTAAATTCCACCACCATTCTCTCAGCTTGTTCAGCAATATATCTTTTATATTTATATATGCACTATCACAGTTTGGATTACTTCAAGCTTTAGAAAGATATATTTGATTGTGAGTACCATCTTTTTCTTTTCATTCATTCTATTTTTTTTTTTTTTTTGGATGCCAATTTATATGAATATACCTGAGGCCTCTGGTATTAGGACTATTTACTATCACTTATGCTGTTACTTATAAAATAAATAAAAAAAATTGGGTAATTACATGGGTAATTTTTATATTTTACCCGTTTTGTTATTTTGGTCCACAATTTTTAATTTGTTTAATTTTGATCCTTAATTTTAACTTTTACGTCAATTTGATCCAATTGATAATACCGTTAGTGTTTTTGACAAAAAATTATCACAAAATTAGTTAACATTAACTCACTGAGTTAAGTAAATTACTTATATACGTATTTTTTATTAAAAAATATTAACAATTGTATTTAATTTGACTAAATTGAAACAAAATCATAAATTCAAAATCAAAATCTCGTCAATTAAAATTACACAAATCAAAATACATGGACTACCAATATAATTTTCTCTAATTTTTTCCCTGAAAGTTTGTACTAAAATGTTTAGTATAATTTCTGATTATAGTTTTTGAGACTGAACTAAATAAATAAGCTAAAAAAATATTGATTATTAAGAAGAAAACGTGCTTTTAACTTAATTTTTTTTATTATCAATTGTCATGCTTGCTAAAAATTGCACCAAATAGGTCTAAGGTCCTCCAACAATTTTAATTCTATAGCATTAAAGCTAATTTATTTAATGCACAATTTCGTTGTGTGTTCGTTTTATTTTTTTTTAGATGGGGTGTTCATCTTATTGTTAATTGTTCATATCTTTCACAGGAAGCGAGAGGAGGAACAAAATTAACCGCAAAAAATGGTGCCATTTGTGAGAATTTTGGGTAATTAGTACATTTATCAAATTCCTTAATCAATTTTGATGTACTATTATTTCTATTATCTCCTACATCATATATGGAGTGCTAAGTCTTGGTGGTTTGTGTTGTTATGTTTATCAATGGTATGCTAGTTCTGATATGGGCTGACATACTAGCCTTGTACGCCATGTGGATGATGATGCTATACTTAACAAATGTTTGGAAGCTCAACTTCACTCATGCTGCTGCAATTATCAATGTGTTTTGGGGTTTGATGGCAATTATGCTCTTGCCCATACAATTCCTTGTTGATGCCTTCATGGGTAACTACTGGATGCTTCTCATCTAGGAATGGCAATGGGGGGCAATGGGGTGGATATTAATTCCCCATCCCCATTCCCCTATAATAAATTTTCTTCATTCCCCATTCCCCATGGGTACCACCCTCCCCATTTTTTAATGGGTATGGATTTTCCCCAACCCACTTTAATCCCCATTTTTATTTTTTATATTTAATGTTAACAAGGTTTGATGGCAATTATGGTCTTGCCCATACAATTCCTTGTTGATGCTAGGTTATCCATTGCCATCCCTATTCTCATCTCCAGCTTTTCCTATAGTGCTGTGAGTGTCTCTTCTTCCTCCCTATTGTGATGTTTTTTTCTTTCATTTTTTGGTTAGTCCAAAAAGGGTAGAAGGGAGCGACTAAGACATTGCTTTGTGGGGATCCTAACACACTCTGTTAAGATGGGCTAAATCATAGCCTAACCTCAACCCAACCGTGGGCATAGTGGTAAAGGTGTTAGTGACCAGAGATTGAGTCACGTGATCCATCCATAATAGCTGATGAGAAAACTCCGATCCATAATTTTTTAAGGTAAAACTATCAATAGATCATAATAATTGGATTTAATTTTGATCAAATTTTATTATTAAAAATAAGTCTTAATAAATAGTCACTGAAAATAATTTTTGTGACAATTTTTTACGTGTGCTTCTAAAAATTGATAATTAGTGACTTTTTTTGTCACGATTTTTATAAATTATTACTAAAACTTATAATTAGTGATGTTTCTCTGTAACGAAATTTTCAAATTGTTGCTGAAAGTTAAAAATTAGTAATTTTTTTATAACGATTTATTAAACTGTCGCTAAAACTTATTAAGTGATATTTTTTGTGACAATTTTTAAACTGTTGCTGAAAATTAACAATTAATAACTTTTTTTAAATAATATTTGACAAAAAATACTATTAATTATTATAAAACTTATTAAACAATAAGTTCACGAATTAAGATTTGGAAAATGATTTGAAGCCCTAAAAATACCCCTCCTAATCCCCCTAATTTCCAATTTGGGCAACTTTTTCCTTTTTTTTTTTTTTTTTTACTTGATATGGAAATTAGGAAGACTAGGAGGGGTATTTTTAGGGGATGTAGCAAGGTTGTTAAGATTTACACGTAAATCTTCCAATTTTTTATTCACGTTACTTGAGAATAGGCCCCAACCACCACTCTTGGTGGTCAACTGTGATGCTATCATCTCCACAAAGGTCCCAACCATGATACAAAAAATAGTGATTTTGGGTATCATATTTTAGAAGTAATAATTTTAAAAGAAGGTAAATAAAAACAGCCACGTTATGTGGTAAATAGGATCAATTTCAGTGATAAGTAATGTCAGTTTGAATAATAAATAGATATTTATATTATAAGATAAATGAGATCCATTTTAGTCCTAACTAATATCAATTCTAATAATAAATAAAACCACGAAAATTAGTTTATTTTTGGGCAAATTACAAACAACCCTCCAAGTTTGGTAAAAATACAGATTCTCTCCTGAGGTTTGAGAAATTACAAATTACCTCCTGAGAGTCAAATTTTCATAACAAATCAGGGAAAATTATGGGAGAATCTGTATGAAAATAAAAATCTCAGGGGGCAATTTGTTATGAAAATATAAACCTTAGCGGGCGGGATGTAATTTCTCAAACCTTAGGGAAGAATCTGTAATTTCACCAAATCTCAAAAGGGTGTTTGTAATTTGCCCTTTATTTTTCCAAAAGCCCATTTAAATTTTTGTAGCCGATTTTAACCATTACCAACCAATAATGACTGGAATTTTTACATATCCAAATCTAATGATTAGGAGCAGTTTTAGGTATGATACCTAAAAACCCTTTTCTGTGCCAAACAAAATCTTCTATAAGAGGCAAACACACACACAACTTTTTTTTTTGCATGCAGGGTTTTGGATTCCTAACAATGTCAACACCTCCAGTGCTCGCCAAGGCCACAGGTGTTGGAATGGTTATAAAATTCTGGATAAAACCAGAATTTTTTCCTAAGTTCAGTCTATTTTTTAGGTGGGCCCCGAGTGTCGATTTACTCGGGTCAAAGTGGTAACGCGTTCTATGCCGCGTTGTGATTCACGTGGTATATTTGGTTGCTCAAAACCATTACCGAGTGAATGGGAAATTAAAGCCAAAGTGTGCTCCATGGAAATAAAGTTTTGGTGGAAATTCCTTAAGGTGATAAATTGGCTTGTCCCACATTGATTTGGTGGGAGGTTTTGAAAGGGTTTATAAGGCTTAGGGTGAGATACTTGGGGTGTGCCCCAAGGGGTACCCAAGTGTTTTAGAGGGAGAGGTTATGGGCAAAATGGGCTAGACCCATTGGACCCAAAAATCACCACACACGCAGGTGCGTGGTTGGGCTTCTAATCTTTTTGGGCCAAAAACATTTGAATTTAATTTTATTTTTTATTAAAATAAAATCCATAATTCAAATTAAATTGGTTTGGATTATTTGTTCATCCAAACAGGGCCCTTCCCGGTTTCAAACAGAAATAAACTGTTTTGGAATTAAGGTACACCCAAACAGGGCCCTTCCCGTTTTACTATCTGTTTGAATTAATTCAAATATGTTTGAATTCAAAACCCAACAGGTATGATACCTGTTCAATTCAAAACCAAGAGCCACATACCTGTTCAATTCAAATCCAAGAGCCACCTTCACATCTATACAGGTGTCTAGACAAGGCTGCAATTATATTACCAACAAAACCTCTAGAAGAACAACAGAAGAAGAGATGGAAACTCTGCAGAGTCACGGACGTAGAAGAAACTAAACTCACCATACGAATGATCCCCTTGTGCATGACTTTCATTTTCTGCGGCGTTGTATCTTCCATCGGCAACACATACTTCATCGAGCAAGCAAACCACATGAACCACAAGCTCGGCAAAATCTCTATCCCCATCGTCATCCTCCTATGGTTCCACGACCAAGGCAAACAACAATTCGCCAATCTCTACTACAAGCTTGCCAACAAGCTAGGCGGGTCAGGGGCGCGACACTATGCTCCTCTTATAGGCATCGCTGTGTCAATGGTTTTTGCAATTCTATGTTGCATTACTGCTGCCAAAGTTGAGACAAGAAGGCTAAATGTGGTGAGGACGCACGGTTTAATCGACAAGCCAGAGGATAGAATTCCAATGAGCGTGTTCTGGTTGCTTCCACAGTTTGTACTCATCGGTGCCCTTAATGGGATTCTTGAAAACAGCATTGTCGCAATCTTTATTGATCAGGTTGGGTTAGAATTTCAAGTTTATTTCAAAATGAAAATCTGTCAGACAGTGACTATATACCTCTCTCTTCAATAAGTGTCGTGTGTTTTTTTAAGGATTTACCTTCACTCCATGTTTACTTATAAGTTATCATCTATTTTTTGAACAGGTTGGGCCATCAATGAGAGCATACGTGATCCATTTTGGTTTCGGTGTGGTGGGGTTGGGGAGTATAGGGAGTGTTCTATCAGTGTATGTGGCAGGGAAGGTGAGTGAAAGAGGAGGAAAACAGAGTTGGTTTCAGGACACATTGAACCATAGTCGGCTTGATAAGTATTATTGGACACTGGCTTGGTTGAGTGCTGTGAACCTTGGTTTATACATTGTGACGGCACTTTTTTACCGTTTCAGAAAATCAGAATTGGAAGATCCTCAATCAGAATTGGAAGATGAGGATGCTCCCAATTACCAGAACACGAATGCACCTTTTAAAGACAATGCTCGATGTTGTTGTTAGGTGGCACGGAATTTTCTGTTCTCAACATTTATTAGGTCACATATATTGTTTTCTGTTAATTATCATATTTGCAGTGTGAAAATTAATGTGAGTGTTATATGATTTATATGATGTCATAGAATTCTGAGAACATTGATAGTTGAATAAATTTCATTGTATATGTAGAGCTTTTGACTATTTAGTCGGTTGGTAATTTGATTGTGATTGGAGATTACAATAACATGTGATCAGGTACATTGGTAGAATGGAAGAATCTCAAGTTTCATATTAAATTAATAATTTGATTTGTTGATTTTTCAATTTTATGCAAAGATCACTAATGGAAAACAATTAAATTAATCCTTTAATAATAGCAATATGATTTCATCATATTTGTTTGCAAAGTAATGAAAGACGAGTGTAACTTTAAAAATATCCCGTTCATATTTTTTAAGAAAATTTTCATAAAATATGTGACTACTAACCAAACCGATCATCAAAATAAAACTTATGATAGGCCCGCAAGAAATAGACTGCACAAATATATATATATATATATAAATAAAAATTCAAACGATGAAAAAGAGTTGCTTCTTGTAAAACGTATGAACCAAATGAAGTCAATGGTCTTTCATTATACTATTTGCATATAAACAAACAAACAAAAGACTAAAAAGAAAGAAAGTAAATGCAGCTGATGGGGAGGTTTCTTTGAAATCACTTGGAAGAAGAGATATGTTTTCTTTGAAGTTGGCTGGCTGCTCAGAAAATTGTCATTCAACTATATACTATATGCAGTAATATTCACAATTTTTTTTTGGGGGGGGGAGGGGGGGTAGCGAGCGTATCCAAAGTTTTACTTCAGTCTCTGTCCATGCAATCTCCTGTCTCACACATACGAGTCTCTTTTCGTACACATACCGAGGAGCAAAAAGTTCTCTCTACCTCGCTTGGCTATTTGTGGAGGTAAGATTGTATTACTGTTGATTAGGTACTGAATTTAAACAAGATTACTCTGAGAATTCTTTCTAGTTCTTGACTCTGCATATGCACTTGAAAAGCTCTGTTTAACTCAATTAACTCTCTTCTTCAAATTGCACTCTAGTTCTTTTGAAATTCTACTTTTGGGCTTCCCTTGAACTGTTCTTATTCTTCTTCTAAACCTGCTTTTGCAGAAAGTGAGAGTGGAAAAGACAACACATAAATGGCAACCTTTGTGAGGATTACAGGTAATTGACCTGGTCTTAGACTTCTAGTTCTAGATCCAAAGTATATATTATCAATTGTTGTTAGCTTTGTTTAAAGATTAAGCTCATATAATTTTCATGTGTAGACTGTCTTCCATCCGAGTGTTGACTATAATTTTCCCTCATTTTCCCTTATGAGCTCCATTTTCCAGCTACCCAAACAGCCCTTAATGAAAACGTCTAAACTTCAAAACCCCAACCAATTGGCATACATAACTCTTTTTCTTTCTTTTCTTTTTTCTTTTTTTTTAATAAAGATTGGGTAGACGAGTCTTTGTTTATTACAACTGTTTGGCATTTAGCGCTGAAAAAAAAGGGTGGGAATTTACAGTCCGGTGGATTTTTCAACAAAAAAATTCACATGTATGGAAAAATTTATAATAATGTTTTATTAATATTTATAAAGTTTATCATTAATTTTAGAGAATTACATTTGTTAGGTTTTATTTTTTGGCAACCCCGTTTGACAAAACTCCTTTCAGTTGTATTTGTTTTCGCACCTTTTATTTCAGTGAGGCTATAAGTTTATTAGATGCGAATCCAACCCGAATCGTGCATTTGTCAATTTCCATGAATCAAAACCGAGGTTGTAATAAGATCTAGTTTTCCAGATTTTTAATTTTGGTCGTCCCGCTCGAGCGGGGATTGTAAGCTCACAACATCTCTGTTTCACCTGAAAAAGTACTAGATGGTGTGATTCGACACTCGAGCGTGAAGCCTATATGAATCACACAATTTTAAAGCCTCCGCTCGAGTGGGAAGTCCCACTTTCAGTTGTATTTGTTTTTGCACCTTTTATTTCAGTGATGCTATAAGTTTATTAGATGCGAATCCAACCCGAATCGTGCATTTGTCAATTCCCATGAATCAAAACCGAGGTTGTAATAAGATCTAGTTTTCCAGATTTTTAATTTTGGTCGTCCCGCTCGAGCGGGGATTGTAAGCTCACAACATCTCTGTTTCACCTGAAAAAGTACTAGATGGTGTGATTCGACACTCGAGCGTGAAGCCTATATGAATCACACAATTTTAAAGCCTCCGCTCGAGTGGGAAGTCCCACGCTCGAGCGGACCGCGCGAACACAGATTTTTGGATTTCTATAAGGAATTGGTTTTCTTCTAAAACTAGGATTACTTTGGTTTTCTATAAGTAGTTGGGTTTCTCCCAAAACTTGGACAAGTCTTCCAGATCTTCTTTTTGGATTCTAAGGTTTATATCTGGGGATATTTTGTTAGTTTTCTTTGATGTTTTCATTGAGTATTCAACTCATAGTTTAAACAGTATACATCAAAGGTTTGTTTGTTCATTCTACACAAAAAAGAGAGTTGTTCTTCGGTGGATTCTGAAGAATTCGAGCCTGAAACTTTGGTGGATTCCGGAGTGGCTCATTGTCAAGACAATTCTGAGGTGAAAACGGGGTTGGAAGAGGCACATAGAGGTTGGTTCAATTCGAGCGTGGATTCGCTAGGTAATTGAGAGTATACTTGTGCAATTCCTTTATATCTTCTTAGTGGATTGTTTTGTGGCTGTTACTCGTGGTTTTTTTTATCACAATTAGAGGTGTCCAATTGTGGTTTTTTCACGTAAAATCGTTGTGTCGTTTTGTCTTGATTGTTTGATTGGGATTGTTATATACTGCTTAAAATTGATACATAATCACAAATCAACATCTAGGGTATTTCTAGATTTTTTAATTGGTATCAAAGCATGTCGTTCTTTTTTTTAAAAAAATATATTCTTTTAGAACGAGATCTTGTTTGATTTGTGATAATGGATTCAATTCGTGAGGGAAATTCTATGGTTCGACCACCCCTACTTGACGGATCCAATTATTCTTTTTGGAAAGCTCGGATAAGATCTTTTTTAAAATCTATTGATGAAAAAGTTTGGCAATCTGGCATGAATTGGTGGACCAAACCAACAATTACCGTTTATGGAGTAACTTTCCCCCAAACCAATTGAAAAGTGGGACACAATTGATTACCAAAATAGTAGCTGGAATAGTAAAGCTATCAATTCTCTCTTTTCCGCTGTCACACACCTGAAGAATTTAGTCGTATTTGTAATTGTGAAGTCACAAAAGAGGCCTGAGATATCTTACAAACTATTCATGAGGGCACGTCGCCTAAGGTCTCTCTCTCTCTACTTGTTCAAATTAAAATATTCAACCGTTACATTTACAATTTCAATTATTTAATTATTTATGAGAAATGATTTACTAATAAAAAAAAATTAAAAATGATGTGGGAATGTCGTTTTTAAAATTATGAGTTTAAATAGTGAATATTTTAATTTGAAATTAAAAAAATTACAAAAAAATCACATGATTTTGTACATGTTATTTGTGTTCAAGGTATTGGGTGCCATTTTTTGTTTTTTTAAACCAACCTTTCCATGTCACATCCATTATCTAAATTTATAATTTAACAATTTCATTTTTTTAATTTTGATTTGATCTAAATTGGTCTAATTTCATGCTAGCATTTAAATCATTAGCGAGATATTAATAAGATTCATTTCTAATTCCTACAGGATGGCATTTGTTACTTTGGTTCTCAACATTTTGAATTTCTTCTTTTTATTTCAAGAAATATGCATTTCGTGTAATTTAATTTCTAAAGTTTCATTTTTATCAATTTTATTCCTAAATACTTTAAAGTTGTGCAATGTCTTCTCTAAATATGGCATGTGTCTTATTTTTGTTTTTAAAATTTTAGTTTTGTCAATTTCGTGCCTAAATATTGTAAAGCTATGTTTCATTCTCTCCATCAAAGTTACCAAAATGACAGTATTAATCATAACATTTTTATTTTATCGCGTTTGTTTTTAAAAACAACCTTGTCATTCATTTTTCATAAACAAATTTGATAAATAAAATTACTACAATTAATGAATATACCTAATTTTTTTCATAAGTAATATATATGGAAAATTATAAAATGAATCGTTCGGATCATTTAAACAGACCCATGATAAGTTGCACGGACCCTAACTTTGAGCTTGACATAAGCCGACACGTACATTTAAAACCTAGAATCACCTTTCTGATCTATATTATGTTTGAAATTCAGGTGTCTAGACAAGGCTGCAATTATATTACCAACAAAACCTCTAGAAGAACAACAGAAGAAGAGATGGAAACTCTGCAGAGTCACGGACGTAGAAGAAACTAAACTCACCATACGAATGATCCCCTTGTGCATGACTTTCATTTTCTGCGGCGTTGTATCTTCCATCGGCAACACATACTTCATCGAGCAAGCAAACCACATGAACCACAAGCTCGGCAAAATCTCTATCCCCATCGTCATCCTCCTATGGTTCCACGACCAAGGCAAACAACAATTCGCCAATCTCTACTACAAGCTTGCCAACAAGCTAGGCGGGTCAGGGGCGCGACACTATGCTCCTCTTATAGGCATCGCTGTGTCAATGGTTTTTGCAATTCTATGTTGCATTACTGCTGCCAAAGTTGAGACAAGAAGGCTAAATGTGGTGAGGACGCACGGTTTAATCGACAAGCCAGAGGATAGAATTCCAATGAGCGTGTTCTGGTTGCTTCCACAGTTTGTACTCATCGGTGCCCTTAATGGGATTCTTGAAAACAGCATTGTCGCAATCTTTATTGATCAGGTTGGGTTAGAATTTCAAGTTTATTTCAAAATGAAAATCTGTCAGACAGTGACTATATACCTCTCTCTTCAATAAGTGTCGTGTGTTTTTTTAAGGATTTACCTTCACTCCATGTTTACTTATAAGTTATCATCTATTTTTTGAACAGGTTGGGCCATCAATGAGAGCATACGTGATCCATTTTGGTTTCGGTGTGGTGGGGTTGGGGAGTATAGGGAGTGTTCTATCAGTGTATGTGGCAGGGAAGGTGAGTGAAAGAGGAGGAAAACAGAGTTGGTTTCAGGACACATTGAACCATAGTCGGCTTGATAAGTATTATTGGACACTGGCTTGGTTGAGTGCTGTGAACCTTGGTTTATACATTGTGACGGCACTTTTTTACCGTTTCAGAAAATCAGAATTGGAAGATCCTCAATCAGAATTGGAAGATGAGGATGCTCCCAATTACCAGAACACGAATGCACCTTTTAAAGACAATGCTCGATGTTGTTGTTAGGTGGCACGGAATTTTCTGTTCTCAACATTTATTAGGTCACATATATTGTTTTCTGTTAATTATCATATTTGCAGTGTGAAAATTAATGTGAGTGTTATATGATTTATATGATGTCATAGAATTCTGAGAACATTGATAGTTGAATAAATTTCATTGTATATGTAGAGCTTTTGACTATTTAGTCGGTTGGTAATTTGATTGTGATTGGAGATTACAATAACATGTGATCAGGTACATTGGTAGAGTGGAAGAATCTCAAGTTTCATATTAAATTAATAATTTGATTTGTTGATTTTTCAATTTTATGCAAAGATCACTAATGGAAAACAATTAAATTAATCCTTTAATAATAGCAATATGATTTCATCATATTTGTTTGCAAAGTAATGAAAGACGAGTGTAACTTTAAAAATATCCCGTTCATATTTTTTAAGAAAATTTTCATAAAATATGTGACTACTAACCAAACCGATCATCAAAATAAAACTTATGATAGGCCCGCAAGAAATAGACTGCACAAATATATATATATATATATAAATAAAAATTCAAACGATGAAAAAGAGTTGCTTCTTGTGAAACGTATGGACCAAATGAAGTCAATGGTCTTTCATTATACTATTTGCATATAAACAAACAAACAAAAGACTAATAAGAAAGAAAGTAAACGCAGCTGATGGCGAGGTTTCTTTGAAATCACTTGGAAGAGGAGATATGTTTTCTATGAAGTTGGCTGGCTGCTCAGAAAATTGTCATTCAACTATATACTATATGCAGTAATATTCACAATTTTTTCATTTTTATTTTTTTTGGGGGGGGGGGGGGGGGTTCACCCTTCTTTTTTTTTATATGATTTTTTTTGATAAAAAAATAATTTTGAAGAATTTAAAACATATTTTTTTGGATTTATTTTTTTCAAATTAATTTTAAATTTTTCAAAATAAAATTTTAAAATTCAACCAAACAAAAATAATTTCCAATTAATTTTTTTTTCTAATTAGAATTAACCTGAATTTAAACAAGATTACTCTGAGAATTCTTTCTAGTTCTTGACTCTGCATATGCACTTGAAAAGCTCTGTTTAACTCAATTAACTCTGTTCTTCAAATTGCACACTAGTTCTTTTGAAATTCTACTTTTGGGCTTCCCTTGAACTGTTCTTATTCTTCTTCTAAACCTGCTTTTGCAGAAAGTGAGAGTGGAAAAGACAACGCATAAATGGCAACCTTTGTGAGGATTACAGGTAATTGACCTGGTCTTTGACTTCTAGTTCTAGATCCAAAGTATTATCAATTGTTGTTAGCTTTGTTTAAAGATTAAGCTCATATAATTTTCATATGTGTAGACCGTCTTCACTGAATTTAAACAAGATTACTCTGAGAATTCTTTCTAGTTCTTGACTCTGCATATGCACTTGAAAAGCTCTGTTTAACTCAATTAACTCTGTTCTTCAAATTGCACACTAGTTCTTTTGAAATTCTACTTTTGGGCTTCCCTTGAACTGTTCTTATTCTTCTTCTAAACCTGCTTTTGCAGAAAGTGAGAGTGGAAAAGACAACGCATAAATGGCAACCTTTGTGAGGATTACAGGTAATTGACCTGGTCTTTGACTTCTAGTTCTAGATCCAAAGTATTATCAATTGTTGTTAGCTTTGTTTAAAGACTAAGCTCATATAATTTTCATGTGTAGACTGTCTTCCATCCGAGTCTTGACTATAATTTTCCCTCATTTTCCCTTATGAGCTCCCTTTTCCAGCTACCCAAACAGCCCTTAATGAAAACGTCTAAACTTCAAAACCCCAACCAATTGGCATACATAACTCTTTTTCTTTCTTTTCTTTTTTTTTTTTTTAATAAAGATTGCGTGGACGAGTCTTTGTTTATTACAACTGTTTGGCATTTAGCGCCGAAAAAAAAGGGTGGGAATTTACAGTCCGGTGGATTTTTCAACAAAAAAATTCACATGTATGGAAAAATTTATAATAATGTTTTATTAATATTTATAAAGTTTATCATTAATTTTAGAGAATTACATTTGTTAGGTTTTATTCTTGGTAATCCCGTTTGACAAAACTCCTTTCAGTTGTATTTGTTTTCGCACATTTTATTTCAGTGAGGCTATGAGTTTATTAGATGTGAATCCAACCCGAATCGTGCCTTTGTCAATTTCCATAAATCAAAACCGAGGTTGTAACAAGATCTAGTTTTCCAGATTTTTAATTTTGGTCGTCCCGCTCGAGCGGGAAAAGGGACGCTCGAGCGGGGATTGCAAGCTCATAGCATCTCTGTTTCGCCTGAAAAAGTACTGGATGGTGTGATTCGACACTCGAGCGTAGAAACTTCCGCTCGAGCATGAAGCCTATACGAATAACACAATTTTGAAGCCTCCGCTCGAGCGGGAAGTCCCACACTCAAGCGGACCGCGCGAACACAGATTCTTGGATTTTTATAAGGAATTGGTTTTCTTCCAAAATTAGGATTACTTTGATTTTCTATAAGTAGTTGGGTTTCTCCCAAAACTTGGACAATCCTCCAGATCTTCTTTTTTGGATTCTAAGGTTTATATCTGGGGATATTTTGCTAGTTTTCTTTGATGTTTTCATTGAGTATTCAACTCATGGTTTAAACAGTATACATCAAAGGTTTGTTTGTTCATTCTACACAAAAAAGAGAGTTGTTCTTCGGTGGATTCTGAAGAATTCGAGCCTGAAGCTTTGGTGGATTCCGGAGTGGCTCATCGTCAAGACAATTCCGAGGTGAAACGGGGTTGGAGAGACACATATAGGTTGGTTCAAGTCGAGCGTGGATTCGCTAGGTAATTGAGAGTATACTTGTGTAATTCCTTTATATCTTCTTAGTGGATTATTTTGTGGCTGTTGCCGTGGTTTTTTTTTTTTATCACAATTGGAGGGGTCCAATTGTGGTTTTTTCACGTAAAATTGTTGTGTCGTTTTGTCTTGATTTTTTTATTGGGATTGTTATATACTACTTAAAATTGATACATAATCACAAATCAACATCTAGGGAATTTCTAGATTTTTCAATTTGTATCAAAGCAGGTCGTTCTATTTTTTTAAAAAATATATTCTTTTAAAACGAGATCTTGTTTGATTTGTGATAATGGATTCAATTCGTGAGGGAAATTCTATGGTTCGACCACCCCTACTTGACGGATCCAATTATTCGTTTTGGAAAGCTCGGATGAGATCGTTTTTAAAATCTATTGATAAAAAAGTTTGGCAATCTGTCATGAATGGGTGGACCGAACCAACAATTACCGTTTATGGAGTAACTTTCCCTAAACCAATTGAAAAGTGGGACACAATTGATTACCAAAATAGTAGCTGGAATAACAAAGCTATCAATTCTCTCTTTTACGCTGTCACACTTGAAGAGTTTAGTCGTATTTGTAATTGTGATGTCACAAAAGAGGCCTAGGATATCTTACAAACTATTCATGAGGGCACTCCTTCAGTTAAACGCTCAAAACTTCAAAGGCTCACGTCTAGTTTCGAAAACCTTTCAATGAAAGATAGTTAGACCTTTGATGAATTTTATGCAAAGTTGAGTAACATTGTAAATTCCAGCTTCAATTTAGGTGAAAAAATACCAGAATCCAAAGTTGTGGGAAAAATTTTGAGATCCTTGCCTGATCGGTTCCAACCAAAAGTTACGGCTATTGAGGAGGCTCAAGATGTTGACAACCTTAAGCTAGATCAGTTGGATGGAAATCTCCAAACTTATGAGACACATAGGAATTTCAAAAAGAAACAAAAAGATATTACTTTTAGTAGTGCTCATAGAGTTGGAGAGGATTCTGATGAGGATTGTGAGATAGATTTCAAGATTACTCCTGCTTTTGTTAAACAATTTAAAAAATCTTTTTCGAAAAAGAATCCTAAACTTTTGGAATCCACTCATACTCATAAATCTAAAGGCAAAGAGAAACTCAAAATTAATTCTATAGCCAAGAAAGAGAAAGGAAATATACAAGGGAACTCTGAAAGACTCCAATGCTATGAATGATAAGGATATGGTCACTTTGCTTCAGAATGCCCCACTCGTTTGAAGAAGACGAAAGCCCTCGCCATCACTTGGGATGATGAATCAGAATCTGATGACGATGAAAGTGACAATGAAGATCAAGGCGAAAAGGGACATAAACAATTCCTTACTTTCATGGTGGCTTCCGAAACTGAAGGACAAACAGAGTATCCGAAGAGGTCGGTTGAGAATGCCACTGATGATGAATCTTCGGGAAGTGATGATGAAGAGCTTGAGCAAGCTTATGAAAAATTGTATAAGGAATCTCTTAAGTTATCCAAATTGAATGACAAACTCACTATGAAACTCACAGCATGTGAAAGTGAGAATGTCAAACTAAAGGAGGAGATTTCCGAGGCTAGGATTGATGCCATCAAGATAGCTAATGATCGACAAGCTCTTTGTGCAAAACTCTTGACTCGTGAGACAGAGAGGAACGAACTACAACAAATCTATGCAACATATGAAGAAAAAATTGAAACTTTCAAGATGTCTCAAGTTGCTTTGGAAGAACTAATGATCAAGAAAGAGGAAGAACTCAAGTGGGCTATGGCTACCATTGGTCTTCGGAACAAAGGATCAAAGACTTTGACAATATCATTGGGTCTCAACAAATTTGTTCTGACAAGAGTGGCAATGGGTTTGGTGGTAAGAAAGAGAAAAAACAGAGTACTTCCACATCTCATGATACAAGAACTCAAAGAAAGGGGGAACAAAAAATTCAACATAAGGATGGACTTCTCAAACTTCCTAGAGTTGGTAAGGTAAAAGAAAAGAAGGTACACCCTGTACACCCTGTTTTTATTTGTCATCATTGTGGTATGCATTGTCATATTCGTCCTTATTGTTATAAGTTGCATGGGAGAGTGTATTTGCCTAAACCTAAAAATTGGAAGTTAGAAGCCATGTCGAGGCGGGTTCCCATTGTAGGGGAAAGGAACACAACGTCAAGACACCACCCAAGAACTGCAATTCTCACAACTTTGTTTATACTAAAGCGGTTTGGGTGAAAAAACGTGACTTTTGTTAATTTGTTTATTTGTTTTACCTTTTGGGTTTTTGTGTGTTGTTTTTAATGAAAAAAAAATGTGTGCTTGTTCGTTTTTTGTCTTGCTTTGGTTAAAAAAATAAAAAATAAATAAATAAACCCAAAAGGATTTTCTTAGTATGGTTTTGCAAGCTTGAAATTTTTGAGTGGTCCTTGG